CTTACCTCTCTAAAAATATCAGTTACCATTTTTTTAAAAGATTTCTTCTACTCCCTGCATTATTCCTATTTTCTTTGTGATTTCTTTTTCTCTGTGTGCTTTATCTCTGTCTTTTTCCCATTGGAGCCTTCCTCAAATGCCTGCGGAGGGCTTCCCTGGTGGCGCAGCAGTTGAGAGTCCGCCTGCCGATGCAGGGGACGCAGGTTCGTGCCCCGGTCTGGGAGGATCCCACATGCCGCGGAGCAGCTGGGCCTGTGAGCCATGGCCGCTGAGCCTGTGCGTCCGGAGCCTGTGCTCCACAACAGTGAGAGGCCCGCGTACCGCGAAAAAAAAAAAAAAAAATGCCTGCTGACCCTTGGCTATCCATTCATACTTCAGCATGAGGCACAGAAAAAGCTGTTGGGTAGCTATATGTACAAGCTGGGTTTGTGACTGTACTCCGATAGCATACTAGCTCTTCAAGGCAAAGATCTACCTCAGTTTTCTTTACAGATAGAGCCCAAGCACCTAGAATATTGTCTGGCACATAGTAGATGCTCAACAAATATTTGTGGAAGGAAGGAAGGGAGGAAGAAACAGAGGGAAAATTGGAAGGAGTGAAGGTTGGAAGAAGGGAAGGAAAAAAAGGATATCTAGAGGCTTTCTCATCTTTTCTAAAGGTTAACCTTTCCTTTGGGACCATTCTCTGGCACTTTTTCTAGAAAAGAGTCCTCTCATCTTGTTTCTGGGAGTGCAGCCCTAGCTTTCAGGAAGCAGGTAGGGAAGGGGGCAGGAATTTCATCATTCAGCACACAGACTATTTTTATCCATATACTCCTTTTACCTATTTTTGCCTGGTGTTCCTGAGGCTAGATTATTTTTTCAAATCCTGCTATCTTCCCGGCATTATTCTCTACATTATTCTCTGCCCCATGAAGCTTAAAATCTACTGGGAAGAAACAGAAAATAAACAGAAAATAATATATACATATTTAATAAATACATAATATCTATTTTAAATATAAATATATATATATGTATGAATATAAATGTCAGGTAATGACAAGTGCTATGAGGAAAAGTAAAGCAAAATAAGAAGGTGAAGAGGGGACAGTTTGGCAACGAGGATGGGATGGTTGGGACTTCCAGCTTGCTCCAGAGACTGAAGCTGAGACCTCAGGACCACTGATGAAGCTGGCAAGGCTTCAGATGGAGTGGGAATAGCAATCATGCATGTTCACCTTGTATTCGTCCAGTGGAGTCTTCTCTTTACCAGTGATAATAAGCATGGTGACCTGGGATGCCATAGTTTGAAGATAAGAGAATCGCAAGATAAAGGAAGTTCCAAATCTTCACTTGGAGGAGAGCCACCTGCCAATCAGATGTCTGTTTTGGACTTTATATGAGTAAGAAATAAACATCTTTTGTAATATGTCAAAAAAAAAGAAGATGACGAGGAACACGAGTGCATGGGTGTGACCTTCCTCGTGCAAGTTCTTGCGAGCTGGAGTCATCAGAAAAGACCTCTCAATGCAGGCGACATGTGACTGACTAAGTGTGTATCTTGGGGGAAAGTTTTCCAGCCTGACATTCAAAGTGCAAATTCTCTGAGGCTAAAGCAAGCTGGGGAGGTCAAAGAGCACCAAGAAGGCCGGTGTGGCTGGACAGTGGTAAGTAAGGAGAAAAATGGTTTGAGATAAGGTGGGGGAGGGAGCCTGGGGCCAGATAATGAAGGGCTTGGTAGATCACAGGGAGCACCTGAATTCCATTGTGTGACTGGGAGCCACTGGAGGGTTTGGCCAGGGGAGCCCAGGAGAAAACTTAACGCTTACAAGGATCTCTTGGTTATCTTGTAAAGCATAGGATTATAGGGGTGAGAGTGGACGCTGGGAGACCGGAGCGAAGGCTGCTGTCTAGATCCAGGTGAGGGGAGGTGATGGTGGCTCGGCCCAAGTGGTCGAGGTGGAGGTGGTAAGCCGGGGTCAGCTTCAGGATGTACCGGAAGGCAGACCTGACAAGATGTGATGAGGACTGGATGACGGTTGAGAGATAGGACGGTCAAGGATGACTCCCATTTTGCTCTGTTTTGGTTTGGTTTTTCTTGGCAATTAGGTGGTACCATTTGCTGAGGTGGGAGTCACTAGGGGGAGGAATGGGTTTGGGGGTGGAAATCAAGAGTGCATTTTGGCCATCCCCAGAGTGTGGGATGCCAATTAGACTTCCTGGTGGAGATGTCACATAAGCAGTAGATCTGTGAGTGTAAAGTTTAGGGTGAGGGATGGGTTAGATATAAATGTGTGAGTCGGGATTCCCTGGCGATCCAGTGGTTAGGACTCTGCGCTTTCACTGCCGGGGGCCCGGGGGTTCAATCCCTGGTCTGGGAACTAAGATCTCACAAGGCACAGTGCACGTGTGAGCCGGGAGCCTGATGAGATTTCTTAGGGAGTTCATTCACTCAGGGCACTGGGGAGGTTTCCTATGGGGTAGGGTTTACAGGGGGTGTAATTGCTTCACTTCTGGGGATCCAGGAAAGACCTGGGGACCTAACTGCCCCAGACCCCCCTTTCCTAACCCCATCTCCGTTTCCAGCCCTGGGCCAGATCCTTCCTTGAGAGATGCCCTACTCTTCCAAAATCCTTTGGCAAGAGTCCATTCTGCAGGCACCCACCTTAGAGCTTCTTCCTTTCTCAAAAAATCAGTTCCCACTCCCCGACCTGCTGCCCACCTTCCGAAATGTGTTAAACCTCTCATCTTTGGAGGAGCTATATTATTATTATATAACGATTCACAGTCATTCTAGTGTGGTTTTAAGAAATAGACATGTGTGATGAACCCCTCCTGTTTCCCCAAGTCTCTTAAAGGGTAGAATTTGCGCATCAGCACGGAAAAAGCTGAGGATCCAAAGTCAGACAGACCTGAGTTCAGGTCCCAGCTCCACGATTTTCAGGCTTGCAAGCCTGGAAAGGCTTTTAAACCCCTCCATCCCCACTCTGGGATGCAGATGATACCTACTCCTCGGTTATCATTAGGAGAGGCTAGTTCCTTCGCTCTCCCCACCCCCTTATAAAACCAACTCCTCAGAATTCATATAAACTAGAATGGGAATAAACATAGAAAAAGGGGTAATGAGAAAAAAGAGGCAGCCCGCCTATGGGGTGAAGATCCGCCCCCTAGCTCAGGTATATTCACAGCTATAACCATTCATGCTCATCAGTCACTTCCTTCTATCCTGGGAACGAAATGTGCTTGGCCGTGATGCATTTGTCTAACTTCGAAGCACAAGCAAGGAAGTAACATTAATATGGTAATTGAGGTCCAAACCACAGAAGGAGCTGCATTTCCATTTGGTGATCATAAACCTATCTACCGCTCACCCACACTCCCAGATCCTCTGCACCTGGGAGAAGAAAACCCATGGAGATTGGGTATCGGAAATGGCTGCTTAGTTATGCTTAACACCTTTTCCAAAAAGGACCATAGCTTCCTACAGTTGCTTCTCAAGCTTAAACCAAAAAACTCCCAGAGGAGTATGGATGTCCTCGGTCCTGGCCAGCCCCAGCTCTCTACCACATGCCACGTATACACTGTGCATCTCACACATGCTCTATCACAGGCGGTGTCAGAGAGGACTTTGCTCAGGAATGAGTTTCACAGTACTGCAAGGAACAATGCTAGAGTTACACACTAAAGCAAACAGCACTTTAGAAATTTCTAGAAGTTTAGAAACTTCCTTGTTCTTGTGTGAAAACCCATGTCTTTGCCATAATGTTTTTTTTTTTAAATTTTTATTTATGTATTTTTGGCTGTGTTGGGTCTTCGTTTCTGTGCGAGGGCTTTCTCTAGTTGCGGCGAGCGGTGGGCCACTCTTCATCGCGGTGCGCGGGCCTCTCACTGTCGCAGCCTCTCCCGTTGCGGAGCACAGGCTCCAGACGCGCAGACTCAGTAGTTGTGGCGCACGGGCCCAGTTGCTCCGCGGCACGTGGGATCTTCCCAGACCAGGGCTCGAACCCGTGTCCCCTGCATTGGCAGGTGGATTCTTAACCACTGCGCCACCAGGGAAGCCCGGCCATAATGTTTTTAGGACTCAGGAAACAGGTCGTAACCCCTCCGTCCCCGCATCAATTCTGATAGTGGTGCTTCTCCTTTGGAGCAGCACTCTCCGTAACAATAAACGTGGGCAGCTGCCACTGTGGGCCGGGCACTGACAGAGACCTAGGAAGCAGAAGTGTGGGGTTTGGGTTCAGTCCTGCACACTTGGGCCTGAAGGATGATACCACTGTGTACCCGCTGGGCTGTATTGATGTTCCTCGGGCCTCTGAGGACACTAATTCCAGCCATGTAGGGTTAGTGTGAGGGCTAACATGGCAGGTTGTGTAACCCTACATGCCTGGTGCACCATAGATGCGCAACAAGTGATCATTATTATTAGTGATAAGTAAAAGTGGTACTGTTTCCTGGATGTCAAGGAAGTGTCCAAGTCATGAAGGGTTACAAGAGTTCAGAGGGTGGAGCTTACTAAATTGACCCAGGAGGCTTCACAAAGGAAAATGCACCTTGACACACAGTTGTCAGATAAACTACAGAACGCCCAGTTGAATTGGAATTCCAGGTAAGCAACGAATACTTTTTTAGCATACATATGTTCCAAATATTCCATAGGACATACTTATACTAAAATATTCTTCATTGCTTATGTGGACAGAAATTCTGATTAAATTGGGCATGCCCCATTTTTATCTGCTAGATCTGGTAAGCCTAATCTGGAAGAAAGGGTAGCACAGACAGGCTGGGAGAAGAGGATGGGGGACCCCCACAAGCTAAGTGGAGGAACTACCACACATATGCGCTTACATCTGTCAGGCGCTGTGTTGGGCAATTTACAAGAGTATCCCAAACCCTTGTAAGGTATTTATTATTCCTTACATTCTGCAGATGAGGGAACTGAGACTCAAGACCACTTAAATCCCCACCCCACCCCCCACCCCCAGCTGCCTGGCTCCTAAGCCCCTGTCTCTTCCCAGGCACCACATCTTCCCCGGGGGCAGCCAGGAAGCAAAGGAAAAAAAGCGTGAATACCCACCTTCATGAGAGAGCCCAGCCCCGGCATCTGTTCCAGTTCTGTTCCAAGACAGCCTCACTACTGAACACCAAGGAGCCTTCATCTTTTGCTTTTTGTAATTTTTTTTTTTTTGAGAGCTGAATACAACAGCTAGACTTATAGATTGCCACTCCCTTTAACATTTCTATTTAATCAGGCTACATTTGGGGTGCCTTTCCATTATTCACACTAATCAAGTGTTTTTTCCATACCCAGTTTTGAGCTCCCCGTTATCCATCTCAGAAACCACTACAGGGAATGGTGCCCAGTTGCCAGAGTGTCACCATCCCTCATCACTCAGATGCCAGGAAATTTCATAATAAAGACAAACTTACCACAGGCCATCTTGCCCTCCCACAAAAGCTGTCCCCAAACAAAGGGTTTCCTAACAAGATAAACATTATGTATCAGAACTACAATAACATAATACCACATTTTCTTCAAATTAGATTTTGAATTCCACCAATTCCAAATCAGCGCACTCAACACTCTAAATGAGGCAAACTTCAAAGAGTAGGAAATAAAAATATCTTAAAGTGTGATGGCTTTTACCAAATTAGGTCTGTGCCAATGCAGAGCCTTTATTTTCTGCAAAGTAACCCTCTTTAAAAAAACAAAAACAGAAACACAGTTTAATTCAGCAAACATTGACTGAGAGCCCACTCTGGGCACAGAGCTGCAGGGAAGACGTTGAGAGCCAAGTCGGTTCTGGTCCTCAAAGGATGTGTGACGGGAGCGGACACTTATTCAGCTAAATTTCAGAAAGGAAGGAACAAAGTAAACATTGTAAAAGACAAAATGTCATGGGGGCCCAGAAGAGGGAGTGATTAATTCGCACTGTGGGGAGGTGGTACTGAGCCAGCTGGGAAGGATGACTAGGGTTTTGACAGCTGGTGAAGGCATCCAGGCAGAGGGAACAGCTCAAGCAAAGGTAGAAGGCCGTGATGTGCGGGAGTACTAATCATCATCATCTAATTGATCAAAATGTGTATTGCGACATTCTAATTATTATATGTTGCCAAATATTATCCCACCTACTTTCTTTAGAAGTAAAAATCACATACCTGCATGATTACCCCTATAGGCCTTTAACTAATGATGTATAAGTATGGTGGTTTTTAAAAAGATGCTAATTTCCCAGACTAAACCACCTTCCCAGGTCCCACGGCCCTTTACACGCATTCCAACACGAGGAACACACACCCTGACCAACAACAGACTCCTTTCTTGCCCCTGATTCTCGTAGGCTCCTTGGCCATCACTACTTGTAGACTCCCTCATTAACACATACTCCAGGCCACACATGCACACATATTACCAAGTCCCCGTACGCAGTGCTAGACAGGAAACACATTTGGAGGACTTTAAACAATTTTAAAATGTGCCTTCAAATTTTACAACTTGCTGTACTTGCCCGAGGGAGGAACCAAGCCCCTTGTATAAATATCACCCCAAACAGGCCTGCTCTACCTCCCACCCAGCTCAGGGATCTTGGCTTTTCTGTGTGAGGCTCAGGGTGGGTTTGGGGGTTTTGTTTATTTTGATTTTGGGTTTTTTTTTTTCATTTCCTCTGTGTCTACTGTGGTCACCGGCTTTTTCAGTCATGTTTATTTTATAGGCATTCCCGGTAGCCAGTGGGAGAGAAGGAACAGTCCTTGCTCCTCAGAGCAGCAGCCACACAAGCAGCCCAGGACAAAACCATTTATCAGGCTCCAGGTGGACCTATGAGGAAACTTCTCAAGGACGTAGTTTCCTGCCATGAATTGGACAGTTCCTAGAGCGAGCCTGGCTGTGGGCAAAGGAAAGGACCTCATAGCAGGGACTGGGGCACCCAGAGGATGCTGGCCGAGACGGGCCCCTCTCAGTGCCCCAGCCCCTGGCCCAGCGCCTTTACCCACAGGGGACCCTCAGGAAGCCACCCCAGCTGCTTCATCCACTGTCCCTGTCACTGGTTCACAAACTGGGGTCTCCAGTTAACCTTTGCTGGTGTTTGTTAGCTATCTTTTTTTTGTATCGCCTTTAGAGAAGTATAGTTTGCACACAATAATATTCACACATTTTAAGTGTATAGGTTGATGATGATTTTCTCGACAAAGGTATTCACCCCTGTAATTACCACCCCTGTCAAGATAAAGAACATTGCCATCTCCCAAGAGAGTTCCTTCACGCCCCCTTCCAGCCAGTACCCCCGTCCCCACCCCCACCCCCTATCCCAGGCAACCACTGAGCTGCTTTCTGTCCCTGGAGATTAGAGCTACTGGTCCTAAAATCAATGAAACTCTTCTGGCGGGGCATTGTCGCTGGCTGGTACCCTGCCCTTCTCCACTCCTACAGAGGACCCAGGTGCTTCAAATGACATATGGGGATTTTTTTCTTTTCTTTTTCTTTTTTGGAAGAAGAAAGAGGAGAGAGTTCTGCTGAAACAGGAGTCTGGGAAGAGATGGGGACTAAGCAGTGGGGGAGGTCTTGGGTCTGTCCTTAGCCGGGTAGAAGGGTGGGGGCAGAAGGCGGATAACTGGCTTTGATAAGGGCCTTGGGGCCTCAGGGCTGATTTGGGCCTTTGGTGACTGAGCACAGCCCAGAGATGGAGAGACGGCCCACTCCCAGCCTGCCTTGCCAGGGGCCCGGCTCTGAATCTGCCGCTGTGTCCTCGGCCCCTCACCATTATCCTTGTCTGTCCTTGCCTGGGCAAGGCGGGTCTCTTTGCCCAAGCTTTCTGCTGGGGACTCAGCTGGGCTGCTGTGGCAGGAGGGGCTGAGGCAGGTCGCTCAACGGAGCCTTGTGTGTGCACTGGGGTTGGCAATCACCAGGCAGCCAGGAGAGAACACCTCACAGGAGTGCCCTTGCCGGAGGGGCTGTGGAAGCTCCCCAAAGGCTCCGTGGCAAAGCTGTCATCCTCAGAGAGGACTAGAGGTCCCAGTACAGTACAGCAAGGTGGCGAATACGCACACCCATCCTCAGCCCAGCCCCGGGGGGGAAGCCTGTCAGGCCTCATAGAGAGAAGCAGCTGCAAATGAAAACTGAAGAGCTGACTCACCAAAGCACATGGAGACACCAGTGGCCTTTCTCAGGGACCTTTCTCCCCTCCTCCGACCGAGGTCACACAGGAGAGGAGAGGGAGATGCCTGCTGCCCCAGAAGCAGAAAAACACTGCACCCCACAGAACAGCTGCAGCGCTCAGCGCGCACAGACACAATGATGAACCCACTTGAAACACCCTGTGGGGACCATCAGCAATATTCGAGGGGGACTTGGCAGGTGGCTGGAGGTCCTATGTCAGCAGGTGGGAGCCAGAGCCAGTTGTACTGGAATTCATTACTGTTACTGTGAGCCCTCTGCAATAAAAATCATAAGAATTACCATCATAATAGCTAATCCTGAGGTCTTTCCATGAGCCAGACACTAGCCAGCTTTTCTAAGTACTTTACATACATTATCTCATTTAATCCTCTCTGTGATCCTTTGGGTGGGCCCTGTTATTATCATCTTCATTGCATAAATGAGAAAACTGAGGCCCGGATAGGATTTGCCCAGCGTCACATCCTAATAGGCGATAGAGTTGGGATTTGAATCTCTGAAGTCTGTCTCCAAAGCCCAAGCTCTTAGCCTGGGTGAGGCCTGGGAACGGGTTCTCTAGTGACTTCCTTCCAGTACCTCTCAGCCCTCCTCCCACCATCATCTCCCTACCTGCCTCGTCTCAGAAACAGCTGTTCCTCCTTTCACCAAGATGGACTCCTACCCTCCAGCCTGAAGCCCATCTCGACACGTCCTTCCCGGGGCCTGCTTCCTCAGTTTCCCCTCTGTATCTCCAGACTCTTTCCAGTAGTTTTCTCCTCTTTACCTATAACTGGGCCCAGATTTCTCCATCCAAAAGAATCCTTCCCTCCATTCTGCAAACTTCTCAAGCTACCAAGCTCCCTTAGTTGACATCTGCTTGTTTGCTCGCCCAGCTTCCATTTCCCCTTCTGGGGACAGAAGCCCAGTTTTCCTGGGGGACCCCCCTCATCCTCAGTCCACCTCCCAGGTCCAGTAGTGAGCCACTGTCCTGAGCCTGGCTAGTGCCAGCACAGCAGCCCCAGGCCACAAGGACTGGTTTGGGAATGGGCGTGTGGCCCAAGGAAGGACGCTGCGAGTTCTCCTTGGGCTCTTGCTGAAACAGTAAAGATGCTCTCCCTCTGCTGGGATGACTAAAGCAATGGGATGCTTCCCTGCAGCCTGCATTTTACCCCCCTGAGAAATATACCTGGGCCCCCTCACTCTTTCATGGTTCCTACCTGGCTCCCTGCAGGCACTGTTTGCAAACCAGCTCTCCACTCTCTCATGTCAGTTCCAGCACCTCAAACCCTAATTCTCTGCTTCATCTCCACACTTCTAACTCAAAGCACTGTCCTCAGGCCCAGTGGCCAAGAAGAAACTTCTTCTCAACCCATTCTCCAGGCTTTTTCTTTTTTCTTAAATAAATTTATTTATTTTATTTATTTATTTTTGGCTGCATTGGGTCTTTGTTGCTGTGCACAGGCTTTCTCTAGTTGCAGCGAGCAGGGGCTACTCTTTATTGTGGTGCACAGGCTTCTCATTGTGGTGGCTTCTCCTGTTGCGCAGCACGGGCTCTAGGTGTGCGGGCTTCAGTAGCCGTGGCACATGGACTCAGTAGCTGTGGCGCATGGGCTTAGTTGCTCCGCAGCATGTGGGATCTTCCCGGAGCAGGGCTCGAACCCATGTCCCCTGCATTGGCAGGCAGATTCTCAACCACTGTGCCACCAGGGAAGCCCTCTCCAGGCTTTTTCAAGTTTTTATTTATTTATTTATTTATTTTTGGCTGTGTTGGGTCTTCGTTGCTGCGCACGGGCTTTCTCTATTTGTGGAGAGTGGGGGCTACTCTTCTTTGTGGTGCACGGGCTTTTCATTGCAGTGGCTTCTCCTGTTGCAGAGCAGGGGCTCTAGGCACGTGGGCTTCAGTAGTTGTGGCACACAGGCTCAGTAGTTGTGGCTCACAGGCTCTAGAGCGCAGGCTCAGTAGTTGTGGCACACGGGCTTAGCTGCTCCATGGCATGTGGGATCCTCCCAGACCAGGGCTTGAATCCATGTCCCCTGCATTGGCGGGCGGATTCTCACCACCAGGGAAGCCCTGGTGCGCTTCCAGGGAAGCCCTCTCCAGGCTTTTTCAAGCACTTTTAAACTTAACCTGCTGAAACAGAATTCCGTCCTTCCTCCAAAACATACATCTGCAACTGACCCTTCTGGTCTCCCAGGCTTTAGACCTTGGTATCATCACCAACTCCCTCTGTACCCATCCAGGTCCTGGCTTGCCAGTGACAGAAACTGACTCCAGGTCACTTAAAGCAGAAAAATAATTTATTGGAAGGAATTCCAGTAGTTCACACAACAGATGGAAAGGCTGGGAACCAAGGCACATGGGGCAGCCAAGACTACAGCCAGGATCACAGGAAGAGTCTAGGGAGAAATGAATTCTAAGTCCTCACATCTCTGAGTCCTTCCTTTGTAGTAAGAGCCCTGGGTGGAAGCACCTGACTGACTGAGCTCTAGCAGAAAGGCCTGGGAGAGCAAGGCTTTTATCTGGAGGCTTTCATGGCCCTGCCTCCCACCTGGGTTCCAGATGCTGAACTCACAGCTCCATCTTTCCCCCACATCCAAATAGCTGCATCCTGTAGAGATCATTTCCAGAATGGTCTTGCATCACTCTGCACCCCCAGCGGCCTGCACTAGTTGCCCCTTTCTAGGAACAGCTGGATAGGACGGTGCAGTGGTTAAATCAGGACCCTCGAGCCAGATTGCCTTGTTTCAGATTTCAGCTTCACCGCTTTACCAGCTGTGTGACCTCGGGGAAGTTAAGAACTTCTCTGTGCTTTCACTTTGCTCATCTGTAAATTGCGGATGATAATACTACCTATCTCTTATGGTGATTGTGAGCAGTGAGTGCTTAATGTACACAAAGTGCTTCAGCTAAGCCTGGAATGGAGAACATGTTCTATAAACGTGAGCTGATGATATTATTCCCAGGGCAACCTGCCCATTATCCACTCTCAAGTCTCCAAACCTCCCCCTCTCTCTCTGCCTTCCCTCAGCCTAGGGTTCCCCAATGAAATACAACCCCCTCGGCTTGTCTCTGAGGCCATTCTGGGTTGGCCAGCTCCAGCTCAATCTGGAATGTCCTCAGCCCATGTAAAAGCAGTTTCCCTGTAAGCCACATCTTCAAAGAGCCTCCTCCAGGATGTCTATCCCGACACCTTCCCACACAGGGACTTCTGCCCATGTGAGGCACTTTTTCTTCCGAGTCACAAAGCACTGGGAGCCCATCTCCCCGAGGTATTTACCACATTCCGCCTGCATTCCAGCTCTTTGTACACTCCTGCCCCTCCTCTCTGCGTGGTTCCAGCCCCTTCCGTGTGCCCAGCTCCAAGTTGTGTCGCCCTTTCATGCTGTGTGCCCTTCCCCCCCCCCTTACTTCATCAATTCCTACTCCTCTTTAAGACCCAGCTCGGGATCTCCAGGACCCAGCAGTGCCTGGCCCACAGTTAGTGGATGGAGAGTGTGATGGAGGGTACTAGATGGAGCCTGGGGGGCAATAAGGAACGTGGAGGGAGTAGATCCTCTCCCCATCTCCTTCCCCTCGCCCCTGCAGTCAGGGGAGAAAGGCCTGCACCTTCCCTCTGGGCATGGAATGCCCTTACCCACCATCCCTACCTGGGGAACCCTCAGAAGGATTTCCGCCATTCATCTCTGCCCCCACTGCACCTCAGAGCTCTTGGCTGCCTTGTCCCTGGGGCATTTATCAAGTACTACCTGGAGGAACAAATATTTGTGTTCCTAAGGCTCCTCCTCCATCACCTTCCCTGTATCCCGAAGACTCCCCTTCCTCATTCCCAGTGTCAGCACATTTACCCCCAGTCAGTCCAGGAGGTCAGGCCCAGGTAAAGAGAAATATACACCAGTCCTTACTGACAGTCTTCTCCCCCAGGCTTAGCACCAGGCCCCTCACAGCAGCTATTTCCTTTGATCCATATAATAATTCCAGGAAGAAAGTAGCCTTGCCCCCATCTTACAGATGAAAACAGTGGAGGCTCTGAGACGAAAAATGCCTTTCCCAAGTTTCCATATCTGGGACTCAGACCCAGCTCTCACAGCACCACTCTCTCTCCTGCTCACAGGTTGCCTTATCTGGCCTTCCCTGCAGTGCCTAATGAACAAACTGACCTCAAAAAATATTTGGTGAAGTGGAAAGTAAGCCATTATCCGGACATCTACTGCCTGCAGGGATGGGCCAGGGCAGGCTTCAGCGCTGGAAGACTGCATCTCACAAGCCTGACCCACAAACCCCCTCAGGTCCCTCCCGTCCCACCTCCCCAGACCCTCTCCTCCCTCTCCCTCAAGGGCTCTGGTGAGGGAAGGAACTGCCCCCTCTCCACCCCCTTCCTTTCCCTTCTCCATACACACTCCCCCATTTGCCCACAGCAAATTCAGCACTTTGGGCCCAGGTCTTTCCTTTATACCCAGGAGAGTTGGGCAGTGAGGTGTGGAAAGAATAAGGTGCTGTGGACCCAAGCCCCACCGAGGCTGAGGCTAACCGTCTGAGTCCTGAATACCACCATGTCTAATCAGTGAGGGCATAATTCCTGCTTTTGCCCCCCTCAAAATGTGTAGGAGTCTATAAAGATGAAATAGTACGTGATAAAATACACAGCTGAAAACACTGGAAGAGTGTAAAATGTTACACAAATGTAAGGGATTCCGAGCTGGCCGTAACATGGGCATTAAACTGTAACCTCTCAAAGATATTGACCATAAAAAATTCCAGAGCCATGGGGAAAAGAACTGTGAATTGTGCTTGCTTCTGAGATTTAACTTCTTTGGGTGATTTTTTTTCTTTCTTCATTTGTGCTTCTCCAAGTTTTCTGCATTGATCATGTATTCCTTCTGTAATTAGGGAAAAAAAGTTATGTAAAAGTAATGTCTCTGAAATAAAAGTGTCTAAATTCCTGCTTTTACACTATGTTATAGTGAAAGATTAGGGGGAGGGGAGGGGGAGGGGGACAGGGAAGTGGAAAAGAGGTTTATCAGCTGCATTGAGAGTAAATGTCTTCCCGCCCACCCTCGCGCAGCTGTTCTACCCTGGAGGACCAGAGGACCAAGGCTGGGTAGCTGGGAAGGAAGGATTTCTCCCCAGTCAAAATCACAGGGAAACGATTCCTGGCTCCCATCCCCAACTGCCTCCCTCAGACACCTCCACCTGGAAATCCCACTGATTCTTCAAATGCAACATGTCTGCACAGGCACCGTTCAGTGCTTACCCTGCTCCCAGTCTAACAAGACTCCTGTTTCTTTGGGGAACAGAGCAGATCCCATTTGAGGGAGGAGGGTCCCAGGCCCAGCCCCAGCCCTCCAGAACTGTCCCTTCTCCTGCACAAATGCTGCTGTAGCCATGGACACTGAACCAGTTCTCTCCGGAGAGTAAGTTGTCTAGGAAGCTGCTAGGAAAGATTTTCCTACCAGATAGAAAGAGACCCTTAGGAGGAGAAACCCTCTTGCTCCCACCCCTTCTTCCTGTGGCTCCTGCAGCTTGAATGTAGCTCTTGTACAATCAGCCATCTTGTAACCAGAGTCATGAGGACAGCAGAGCAGAGAGGCGGACAGCACTGGGCCTTTGACGACACTGTCGAGCTGCTGTCCCACATCAGAGGGCTTTGTGTTGGGGGAAACATAAAACCTCTTGCTTAAACCACTAGTAGTTGGGTATTCTGTTATTTGCAGCCAAAATCACTCCTAATTGATACAATGTTCAAAACTGTCCTCTTTGTTTACCCTTCCTGGGTCTGTTCCTCGCCTCCATTTCCTCTATGCAAATGGCACCTCTGCCCACCAAGCCTTCCCAGACTCCTCCCAGTCTCCTGCCCATGGCTCAGCTCTCCCCCAACTCTGTCAAATCTGCCCTCTGCTCTCCCCCCTCTGCTGCTCCTCAGCTTCAGGCCCGTCTCACTCCCACCAGAACTCCTGCAGCTCAGGCCTAACCAGCCCCCCTACCTCTGAGCTCCCTCTTCTACCCACATTGTTGCCCACAGTGATTTTTCTAAAATACAAATCTGATTATGTTTCCTACTTAAGCATCTATGGGCTACAGAATAATGTTCAAAATCCTGAGCATGGCAGTCAAGGCCCTTGGCAACATGGCCCCCAAACCTCCTTCTGCTTTCATCTCTTGCCACTCCCCCAGACCCATTCTGTAATTTTAGCTACACCAGAGTATTCGCTGCACACACCCTAACCCCTCTACTTGTGTTTTTTTCCCCTCATCCCTGAATATGAATGCCTACTTATCCTCCAAAACCCATTTCAAATATCTCCTCCTGAGTCAGCTATGTTGGCAGACTCAAAAGCAGGCAGAGGAAAAAACATATATATCCCCTCCTTTGTGAAGCATTCCTGACCCCAAATAAACCCTCCTTCCTCTGTGAGCCCACAGCCTGTTGTTCCACTTACCACTATTATAATTCTTATTTTATATTCTCAGTACATATTTGCAAGCAGATTAGATTCCTTTAGGACAAGGGTATATTTCAGAGCCCCCAGCACCTCCCAGTACAGTATTTGATATAAGTGATTAAGTTTTGGTGGCATCATTAACCAACACCTTCTGGTGTTTTCTGTGCAGAAACCACGGTCCCATCCTTTTTTTTTTTTTTAATAAATTTATTTATTTTTATTTTTGGCTGAGTTGGGTCTTCGTTGCTGTGCGCGGGCTTTCTCTGGTTGCAGCGAGCGGGGGCTACTCTTCCTTGCGGTGCGCGGGCTTTTCATTACGGTGGCTTCTCTTGTTGCAGAGGGCTTCTCACTGCGGTGGCTTCTCTTGTTGCGGAGCCCATGCTCCGCAACAAGAGAAGCCACCGCAGTGAGAAGCCCTTGCACCGCAGAGAAGAGTAGCCCCCGCTCGTCGCAACTAGAGAAAGCCCGTGCGCAGCAATGAAGACCCAACACAGCCAAAAATAAATAAATTAAAAATATATATAGAGAGAAATATCTCATAAACAATCACAACAAATAAACTTTAAAAATATTTTTTAATATTGTTTACAAAGAGTTTATACATGAAAATATCTTCTGTCGTAAAGTTAAAGGGGAAAAAAGAATTACAAGATAGAAATGAGTCATATTTAACACAATATCTAAAAGCAAGCAAACAAAACCTTACAAACAAAAAGCTGCCAGGGAAGGGTTGAAGATGTTCACAGTAGCTGGTGGTTCCCCTTTATTCTCCTGTTCTCTTGTTCAACTTGTGAAAAATATACACACATTACTAATAAAATGGGAAACATACACTTCATTTTTCATAATGACATAGGGAGAGGAGCAGAGACTGCTTCAAGCTCTGTATCACCTCCTCTGCGCCCTGCCTCATCCCACTGCCCAGTGATGCCCTTAGAGGCTGTGCCAGGTTGGCTGTGTCCCAGAGCCTTGTGGTTCTGGCCTTCCCCACCCCAAACCACAGGGCGCTCAGCAAGGCAGTAGCAACCAAGTAGCTCTGCACGGTCCAGACTGGGAATGGTACCTCCAGGCCAACAGTGCCCCACAGGTGGACAGCACCTACCTCCAGAGGCTGGGTCTCCCCCACGGCCCTCAGAGGGTTAATCCTGTCCTCGAGGAATTTCCAGAAAGGACTCACGAGGGGAATTTCCCAGACAGGCAGGCAGACAGACAGACACCTCAGACGGCTCCCGCCACTGAGCACAGATGTTTGCCTGAGGGTGGCGATGCTGAGAGCCAACACAGGCGCACAACTTTGTGGTGGGAGGTAGCCCAAAGTAAGAACCAAGACAAGACCCGCCCGGGCAGGCTGGGGGCTGGGATGGGGGAAGGCACGGGGCTGAGCTGGTTTGCAGGTCGAGTCTCCGAGCCAAAGTCCCTTCTGCGGTCTCGGTCTGGGTCTCTCACTACCTGCAGCTCTCCTCCTGGTCCACCAGGAGTCGCAGCGGCTGTCGGAGTGTCCAGGCAGCGCGAGGGAGGTTGTGGGTCTGCAATCTCGGCTTTTCCTCGTAGCAAGTCTATTGTATAAATGGTGGCTTCTCTATTTCCCCTACTGGTCTGAGGGCTAATCAAGGGCAGGGATTTTATCCTAGACGCACCCTTACCTTAGGTGCTCATCACAACAGCTGGGGTCTAGAGGTGTCCCATTAGTTCGGACGAAAGACCCCCATACGCACAAATACTAGGATAGGAGAAGAGTGATTGAGCTCCAAGCCTTCAGAGAGAATGCTGGGGACAGTGCCAAGCTGGGGAAAGAGGGCTTCGCGTCCCGTTCGTGCCCAGAATTTCCCCCCACCTCTTCTCCACCCGGCTTGCTCCAGCCCTACACGCAGGCAGGGCGGGAACGGACATGGCCCCGCCGGGCTGGGCCGAGCGAGCCCGAACCTGCCCGGCCCGAGCGGCGCAGCCCAGGGGACCCCACAGTTTCCCGCCCAGAAATCCCGGCGGTCAGAGAAACGGGGGAACGTGCCCCAAACTGTCTCCTCCAGGGGGCAATCCTGGGCCAGCCTCTCTGAAGAACTACCATCACCCCTTCCTTCTCTAACCCTTCCGGTTTCTTTTCAGAGCAGTACGTACCGCAGAAGTAACACTGAACAGTGATTTCACTCACTCAACAAAGATTTCTTGACCACCTACTACGCGTGCTGGGTGCTGTGCCAGGCGCTGGCAATACAGCAGTGAACCAGCAAAACTCCCTGCCCTCGTGGGACTTCGATTCTATGGGACACGAGCAGAGGGATGGGGTAATCTCGCCTGGGACACGTGGGTGGCCGACACCCAGGTGCCCTCCCAGGTGAGCAAAACGGGCGTGAGGCGCCGCCCTGGGGCTCGTTCGGCGGGTAGACTTCGGCCCCGGCGGGAGGGGCGGGCTGCACCTCGCGTAAACGCGGGGCCGGGCACGTCGCCTGGGGGCAGGTGCGCGTGAGGGGGTGGTGGTAGGGGCCGTGCGCAACGCCTGGCTGCGACCCGGCCGCCAGGTTACCGAGCCAAGCCCCTAGTTCGCGCGGGGTAAATATTTATCCTACGCGCGGCGGAATCCGGCTGAGTAGGGCCTCTAGCAACTTGCGTCCCCCACGGGGTAGGGCCGGCCCAGGCCCTCCGCCGTCCCAGGCTCCTCCCCGGCGGGGCCAGCGCCGGACTAGCAGCTGCGTCCCGGCCCCGCGTAATTACAGGGGCTGTGGCCAGGCCTGGCCGTAAAAGAGGAGGATGAAACAGCCTGGGAACCGGGGAAGCTGGGTTCGAGCCTCAAGGGGGCCCCGGGTCTGCGGCTTCCCGCGTTGCTCAGCCGCTTGGAACGGCTGGCCAGGGGTGTGTACAGACTCGCAAAATCAACTCCGGACGGGCATGCAAACAGCCACACAATTACACACATGAATCACCAAACGCACGCAGTCATACAGCATTAGGACTTCCAGCTCCAGACACACACACACACACACACATGAATCACCAAACGCACGCAGTCATACAGCATTAGGACTTCCAGCTCCAGATACACACACACACACACACACACACACACACACACACGAACCTGATCAAACACTTGCCCGCCCTCTCCGCCCCAAGATCTGGGAGGCAGACACTCACCCGCCAACCCCTGCCCCAGACGGTGCAGATCCTGGCGGGGAGAGGAGCCCCGAGAGGCGAATTCCAGCGGGTTTGTTTACACTGCTCGGGGTGCGGGGTGGCGAGCTGGATACTGGGGCCTGACTGACTGGGAGACCCAGCCCAAACTGGGCCAGACCCAGTCGCCTAGTCTGGGACGCTGCACAAAAACCCCCTCCCCGCCTTCAGCCCCCAGCCCCCAGCCCCCAGACGTTGCTCTCCTGTGCATGTTTCCCCTCCTCTTCACACGCTGTTCACAAACATTAGCATACGTACGTCAAAGTTTCACACGCTTCCCCACACGCGGCTGTGATACTACTCACAAATGCTTTCACACTTGCGCGCCATCACACGTATTTACATATGCCAGATGCACATGTGTGGTTACAGTTTGTCACCCTTCAGGCCCAGATTCTCACAGTCCATATTCAAAGCCTGTTCGCACGGTACACACGTGTTAGCACACACTCACACACAGGTCATTAGTGCCCTTTGGAGCCTTAGAAACAAGAGCGAACCCCCTCGCGGGCCCAGAATCCCGAGTCTTCCTCCCTCTCACAGGCACTGACGGACAGAGGCACCCTAAGCCCCAGCCGCACACGTTACACACTTGATCACACACAGGGTTGCACTTTATTCCCGGCATCTAGGCGATGACACAACCTCCCAAACAAAGACAACATTGACAAACCCAACAAAAACAAACAGCAGCGTGTGTGGGGAGGGGCAGCCGAGCGCAGAGTCCAGGAAGGGGGTGGGTAGGAGGAGAGTGTGGAAACGCGGGCGCCCGAGCCTGGGTGTGCAAGACTCGGGAAAGGTGCGGGACCTATCAACAACCTCGCACCCTTCAAGATCGGCGCACGGCGCCCGCCAGCCGGGTCCCGCACCCGCTGGTTAGCAGACCCGCACGTGGAGTTCGTTCCCTTCTCCCGCACGAGACTGGGCGGGGGACACAGACCCACCAGCCAGCACAGGCCCACAAAGCTGCACGCGGATCCACGAGTGAGCAAACACACAGCGCTGAGCAGATTTGTCGGCGCGCGCTTTGCTCCCCTCTCCTCCCCTCCCCCCTGCCCTCCCCTCCTCCACCTCCCCAGCCCCCAGGCCCAGGGCAGCCGCGCGCCGGGCGGGGCGGGGGCGGGGCGGGGTGTCGGGCGGCGCCGGCCCAAAAGGCGGAGTCGCGGCGCGGAGAGCCCAGAGCTGTGAGCACTGTGCCGAGCGCGCCGCGGAGAAAGGCTGCGGAAACCCAGACCCGGAGGAGACCCTCGTCCCCGCCCGGCCTGGCCCGGCCCCGCGCTATGGAGTTCCTCTGGGCCCCTCTCTTGGGTCTGTGCTGCAGTCTGGCCGCTGCTGACCGCCACACCGTCTTCTGGAACAGTTCAAACCCCAAGTAAGCCCCGAGTCTCCGGCCGACAGCCTGGGCGCCCGGTTGGCACTGCTCCCCCCTCCAGGTTAACTGTCCCGGCTAGCCCCTAACCTGAGTCTCGGGGAGGTGACCGGAGGCGGGAGGGATCCCACAGACTTTCTTCTCCCCCATAGCTGGGAGTACCCCACCCCAGGGCAGGACGCTGCCCGCATCGGCTTGCACAGGCGCTGCCACTGCCCCTCTTTTCCTTCCTTCTGGCACCCCTGTTACTCCGAAGTGAGGGACCCGCGTTGAACAGTTCCTGCCTTTAGCAGGGGCCACTCTGTCTGACCGCCAGGGCTCTTGTTCTAGGCCCTTCCACTGAGAAAGCCTCTGTGCCTCTCCTTGTGTGTTACTTGGGCATCTGCCCACACTGACAGGTCTTGACGTCCGGAGTAAGCAGAATGCTTACTGTAATCCTGGAAGGACCCTTCCGGAGGGACCTGAGCTGCCAGCATTAAGTGTTCATTCTGTATTTAAGGTCACCCTGGAAAGCCCTCCCCCCTCAAGAGTCTTTAGAGGTGGCATGAATGAGGCATATGCTGTGTGTGGGTAGGCTTGAGGGTATCTGAGAGTCAGGTAGTAAAACTGAAGAGAAGGGGAGAGAGAGGTCGTGGGAAAGGTTCCAGAGGACAGGAAGGGGTTAAAAGGGTTACAAAGGGCTCTGGGCAGGAAGGAGTTAATTTCTCCGGGGCAGGTTTAGGGCTGTGAGGCAAATGGTATGGGGAGGGAGAAGCTCCATCGGACCCTTTGTTCTTTGTTCTTGAGTTTTCTGAAGTTATGGGAACAATATTTGCAGGAAAACGGGAGAGGGGGGTAAGGTGGAGTCAGGAGAGGAGGGCTGGACACCTTGGGGTCGGGGGTGAAAAACACTTCACTCAGCCCAGCCACCGGCAGCCCTAGCAGACCTACCCCCCACTCCCCTTGAGAAATAGATTGTGCCAGTTTCCTCTTGACCCTGTGGCAGCATTGCCTGGTAGGGGGTCTGTCGTCTGTGGCGTGTTGGGCAGGGAGGAGACAGCCAGCTGCCAACCCCAGAGGGCAATGCCCTCTTGCCCATTGGCCGCCTGACGGGGCAGTGCAGTCAGCCCTCCCCCACCTCACTCCTTGCTCTCTGTTCTTTGCTTCTTTGACCCAATCTTGTCCTAGAGGGAGAGAGCAAAGTCCCTGTTTATGCCCGTGCCAGGTGTTGGCTGAAGGAGGAGGAGGGGACAGGAAGCCAGGAGTAGGGAGGGGGGGACCCTGGCCTTTTCCGTTCCCAAGCTCCCAGGTTTCCTCTCTTTCAGGAAGGAGCCTCTTCCTTGCCCCCCCTTCCCCGCCTTCCCTGACGCCGCTGCCCCCCTTTCCCAGATGGAGAGCAAGAGTCAAAGGAGTGCTAAGTGGAGCAGATTGCACCCCCAGGAGGGGGGTGATGGGCACACCCACCAAGCACAGCTTCTGCCCTGTCCATCTGGACACACACACACACACACACACACACACACACACACACACACACACTCTACCATACCCAGGACTAAAGAGAAAGCCAGCCCAGAGTGGAGGCCACAAGCAGCTAAGCCAGGCCCAGCTTGAGGGCAAAGACGAGGTGGTAATGAGCTGGGTGGGTATGAGGCTGGCATGGGTGACTCAGGGCAGTGGGCATCAGCCCTGGGATCTCCAGGCCCCAGTCAGGGGGCAGCATGGGAAGAAGGGCAGTGCCACTGTGAGCTGCACCCTGGCCTCCTTGGTGCTAGAGGGGCAGGTACCCCACCCATTCAGACCTGTCAGCTCCTTTTGCCTGGAGGACAGTGCCCAGAGCAAGTGGGCACTGGGCCATCCTGGGGTCCTGGGGGCTGTCCACATTTGACAAGGGAAATTTTCACAGGTTCTCATGAATGCTGGGGTGGGTGGCAGAGGTAGATGAAGAATGAGTCAGTGCCCGTCATGGGAATGGAGGAAAGACGCCAGACCCAGAGCTGAAATACCTGTTCTGAAATGGCTTCTATGTTTATCTCTCCAGAGAGGAATTTTAAAAGCCTCTCTCTGCGCCTCCTCCCTCCCTCCCTCTCTCTCTCTCCCTCTCTCTCTCTCTCTCTCTCTCTCTCTCTCTCTCTCTCTTTTCCCCAGGGTGGGGGAGGGGCCTTGGTAAGCCTAGCTGGAGCACTGGCATGCTCCTGCAGAGCCAGGCCTCTTAAGGGTCATGCTGACTGGGCAGTGGGTGCCCACCTCAGAGGCCTCTTGCCCTAACCCCTGCCCCTCTCCCCACCACCCATGCCCCTGGCTTTGGTTTGAAGCAAGTTGGCAGCCAACTCTGCTGAGTCTCTAGCTGGCAGTGGTTGGTGGAATTCAGAGAAGCTGACCGGCTTGGAGAGGGAGGTGGGGAGGCACTTTTTCCCCTACTAGGACCCCACCTAGACTGGAGCCAGGTGTCTAGAGCTGCGGGGGAGGGGTCGGTGGGCAGTCCGGCTGGAGCCTTTGGAGCCTGGGGGGAATGGGCTGGGGGAGGGGAGCTGTCTCCATCTTGGGAAGAGGGAGGGGAGAGGCCTTCTCAGATCTGAGAACTCCAGCATTTCTGGAGCTCATTTCACAAGAGGTGAAAGTACGGCTTTTGGAGATAAAGGGACAGAGAGGTTTTGGGGTGCTTTGAGAGAAGTGGACAAGGAGAGCTGAGCATAGATTTGAGTAGCTAGAAGGGGAGATTTGAGGGCACTGGATGAATTGATTAAAGCAATTTAACTCAAAAGGACTGGACATTGTCTGTGGGCATGGATGTCCTGGGTGTTGGGGGAAAAGTGAAGTTGAACAATGTGAGATATACTCAGTGGGTCAAGGGGAAAAATGAGAGGAGTAAGAGAAGTGAAGACAGATTGTTGGACGCCGAGTACTAGCACGGGAAAGAGAAAGGGTTATGTGGATCTTGATTATAGAATGGGCCAGTAGGTTCTCAGATTGAGGCCTAATAGCAGTTAAAGGAGCAAGTGGTAGAATAGAGTTGGGGAAATATTTATAGGTAGAAGAGTGAGCAGAGGAAATATTTAGAAGCCTATCCTTAGGTAAATATCAGGGAGGTTATGGGAAGTGTCTTGATACCTGAAAGATACTAAGTGGGTGCTATTTAGAGGATTAGTGGCAGACGATGGAATGTTTGGAGATGGTGGAAAGATATTTAAGAGATCAAGAACAGGGCTTCCCTGGTGGCGCAGTGGTTGAGAGTCCGCCTGCCGATGCAGGGGACACGGGTTCGTGCCCTGGTCCGGGAAGATCCCACATGCCGCGGAGCGGCTGGGCCCGTGAGCCATGGCCGCTGAGCCTGCGCGTCCGGAGCCTGTGCTCCGCAGTGGGAGAGGCCACAACAGTGAGAGGCCCGCGTACCGCAAAAAAAAAAAACAAACCCAAAAAACAAAGAGATCAAGATCAGTAAATTAAATACTGGAAGTTGAGAGTTTTAAAAAATCTTTGGTGGGGGCGGTGGTCCAGTATGAAATGTGAGGGGTCATGTAAACATTTGGAAGCTCAAGGCTCTGGCCTGGCTTCTGAGTGACCACCAGCTTTCTCTACCTCTGCGCATGCCCAGGTTTCGGAATGAGGACTACACAGTACACGTGCAGTTAAATGACTACCTGGACATCATCTGTCCTCATTATGAGGATGAGTCTGTGGCAGACGCTGCCATGGAGCGGTACACACTGTACCTGGTGGAGCGCGAGCAGTACCAACTGTGCCAACCCCAGTCCAAGGACCAGGTCCGCTGGCAGTGCAACCAGCCCAGTGCCAGGCATGGCCCAGAGAAGCTGTCTGAGAAGTTCCAGCGCTTCACACCCTTTACCCTGGGCAAGGAGTTCAAAGAGGGACACAGCTACTACTACATCTGTGAGTGCCCGGGAGGCATGCACACAGGTGCATACACTGGGGGACACACCTGGCATGATGTACATGCTTCAGTACATGCTTAGTGGGAAGGCAAGCAGCACACGGCCCCTTCCAATCCTGAAGTCTGTTTTCGTTCATTCCCATTACAAATGTGGAGTGAGCTTCTACTGTGTCCTGGGCACTCTGCTTGGCACTATAGGCGCAGAGATAAATAAAACATTACAGAGTCCCTGTCCTCCAGGAACCTGGAAAGGGACATACATAGATTAACAGACCATTAGAACAGGGTGATATGGTAGATATGAGCTCAGGGGCCCTGCGGAAATGACTTGAGTACCTGCTAGTCTGGGGTGGGGGGCGCACCTCAGAGAAGGCTTCCTGGGGAAGATGACCCAAGAGTTCAGGACAGACAGAGGAGCTGGCCAAACAGGGGGACGTGTGCAAAGAGAGCATGACATCTTCAGTTCAGACTGACTGGAACAGGAGGGACACTTGGAAGTGGGGAGATAGGAACTTGGAGAAGTAGACAGGGTAGAGCATGGGGGCCTAAGAAGTGCTAAGGAGTTTGGACTTTACCCTGAGGGCAGTGGAGAGCCACTGGTGGATTTTACAAGTTGTGAGATCAGCTTTGTACAGAATGAATCCAGGCCTCACCCTGTCAGTGGGGCTTAGGCAGGGCGAGGACAAAGTGGCCGGGTAAGGGGAACATATTGTGCAAGTTGCCCCCAACTTCAGGTTGGGGGGAGTGGAGGATGGGCTGTAGGGAGGGGACAGTGTCTATGTTCTTTTTACCACCACCTCCAAAGTCAGGGGTTATTCCCAAGAATGGGAGCTTGCACTGAACTTGGGGCAGAAAGTGGGCAAAAACTAAGGAAGGTGAGAATCAAAGATTAGAGGGAAGAGAGGGATTAAAATGAGTAGGGACTGAGAAAGCAGGGTCAGAGGTATTTACGCTTATATTTTCTTCCAAAAAAGTTTCCTTCCTTATCACTCTCTGGATTTATTTTGTAGCCAAACCCATCCACTACCAGGAAGACCAGTGCTTGAGGTTGAAGGTGAACGTCAATGGCAAAATCAGTGAGTGTCACAGCCTTGTGGGCCTCCTTGCTCCATCTCTATTCTGGGCCTGGTCTAGTGATCTGGGATGGTTGGGAAGTCCCACTGCCCAGCCCACCCAGCATTCCCACCCCTCTGCCTCCTTGGTGTACCAAGCACCTGACCTAAGACCATCCTTATCCTTCAGCTCACAGTCCTCAGGCCCATGCCAATGCACAGGAGAAGAGGCTTCCAGCAGGTAGGTGGCTGGAGCAAATTGGGCCTGGGGCACAAAAGGGGGTCTGCTTGAAGAGGTTGGGTACAGGAGGTGGCTCTTTTGCCAGTCAGGGGCAGGGGAAACCTCGCTGGGCTGAGGGCCAGTGCCAATAGGGGGGCCGCTCACCTTGGGGGCCTCTGCCCTCTTACCTTGCAGACGACCCAGAGGTGCAGGTTCTACATAGCATTGGTCACAGTGCCGCCCCCCGCCTCTTCCCACTCGCCTGGGCTGTGCTGCTCCTGCCATTCCTGCTGCTGCAAACCCTATGAAGGTGTATGCTGCATGCGCTGTAAGAACTGGAACCGGGCTGAGGGGGCAGCGCGGGCCTCCCTCACCTGCCTGGGGCCCCTCCCAAAGCCCTAGTCCTGGGAACCACTCCTACCACGTGCACAAGCTGCCACCCAGCAGCGTCAAAACGGGTCAGTATTAAAGCTTTCAACCCAAAGGAGGTCAGCAAGCCTGACGGTGCCATCCTCGCCTCCACCTCAGAGGGATGGACAAAGAAGTGGACAGTCCTTTCCCCTTCATTCCTGCCCTTAAGCCAAAGAAACGGGCTGTGCGGACATGGCCTCTTAAGAAGGGCACTGTGGGAGCCGAGCTGAAGGGGGCTTGGGCTTACATGGATGGACACTGAGCTTGGCAAAGATGTCCCTCCCAGAGAGAGCCAGGATGGCTCTGAAGGAAAAGCAAGTTTCCTGCTTGGGAGCCAGGGACAGGAGAGGCAACATGCTTGGGCTGACCCAGCATCTCCCCCGAGACTGTTCTCTGTGGAGGTGCCACGGAGAGGACTGTAGCCAGGCACTACATCCTCTCCCACCCTGGGGCATCACTCCACAGAGCTGTGCCAGCAGGGGGGCTGTGCCAACCTGTTCTTAGAGTGTAGCTGTAAGGGCAGTGCCCATGTGCACAGAGTCTGTGCCTAGACTGACTGTAGCCTGAAGGGCAGGGCCCACGAGTACAGAATCTGTATATGAACTAGATGTGTGTCTGCTGATTTCTACAACTGGAGTTTTTTTATACAATGTTCTTTGTCTCAAAATAAAGCAATGTGTTTGTTTTTTTGGACGTGCTTTTCTGCCCTTCCATCCTAATTTATGACCATTGAGTCCCTGCTGCTGCTAGGCTCAGTGCTATGTCAGTAGCAATTGGGTTTGAGTTTTTTCCCCTCTCTCTGAAAAGGATACATGCCCCTCACCAGCCCACAAGGGTGGGGTGTTTCCTCCTCTGAGGGTTGTCCAGGATAGGAGTGCTCCCCACAGCAGTCTCTCCCCACAGCAGTGGGGTCCTAGGCTGCACCCCACTCTGGAAGTTCCTCCTGTCCAACCTCCGCCCCACTCGCACCCTCTCAGCGCTGGGCTTTGGCGTACTGTTCTGGTACTCAGGCTCTTGGGTGAGTCAGGGCAGCCGCTCGGAACGCCTGCCAGCTGAGGCATGCGGCTCGCCCCACAGCCCCACCAGCAGAGATGTGTGGGAGGCTGGGAGGGAAAGTTCCCGGCAGCAAGTTGGTTGGACTAGGGGGGTCGGTGATATACGTTTGTCCAGTGGATTGGCCAAGTCACAGAAAGCCGGCAGTGTGGCTGAAGGGGGAGGGCATCACACAAAGACTTGGTGATTCCTGGCAGTCCCTGTTACTTAGGGAAGAGACCGGAAAGAGGCTTCAGCAAAGAGCGAAAAATCTCCCAATCCCTGGGCAACTGAAGTTCTGAGCTGCGGCCCTCCGTGAAAGCGTGTTGAAGTCCGGGTAGCAAGCTTTTGAGTTCTACCACGTAGGCTAGCGGCCTGTGGGAAAGTGAGTTGAGGCTGGGGGTCTGGGTGATCCAAGGAGTAAGCAGAGAGTGTGGAGCGGCTGATGCCGAGGATAAATCCGTGGAGCCTTAGGAAGGAGACCGGCCAGAAAACCGAGAGCAACGGGAAGACAGGAAACCCTGCGAGCCGACAGCGGGCCGGTGGGGTCGAAACAGGCCCTCGCAGGGTCGGGACAGGCCCTCGCAGGGGCGGGGCCTGAGCTCCGGCTTGAAGTTCTAGGGGTGGGCCGGGTTCCGGTTCAGTTTCCGGGGGGATGGCCGAGCGCGCAGGGGCGGAGCCGGGGGCGCAAGGGGGCGGGGCTCCGGCGTCGCGGGCTCCGGTTCCTGCTAGCTGGCCGCAGGCGCCGAGCTCGGGATCCGACTCGGGGAGGGATGGAGGCGGGCGGATTGGCCGACTCGCTTCTTTCCGGAGCTTGCGTGCTCTTCACCCTCGGCATGTTCTCCACCGGCCTGTGAGAGCGCGGACGGGCTGGGCTGGGGCAGGACCAGGAAGTCAGGAAAGGAGAGAGAGGGGACAGAGACGTGGCCGCAGCCCCAGGCTGCATCTGGAACCTAGGGTCAAAGTGGAATCGGGTCGAGAGGGCCGGGGTACAAGGGCAAGGCTGGTCACTTTACCTGAGGGAGAAGGCCAGGGTGCTGAGGGTAGGGCCGGGGGTCTGCAGTTGTCCAGAAAGGATGACAGGCATCGGGGATTTCGACGCCCCAGCAGCCTGGTCCTCCCTTTCCACCTCTCCCTCCTGCCTTCGGGTCCCCGTTACAGCTCGGACCTCAAGCACATGCGGATGACCCGGAGTGTGGACAGTGTCCAGTTCCTGCCCTTTCTTACCACGGACGTCAAGTGAGAGGGGCGATGCCTGCGGCGGGAAAGGCTGTCTGAGGGAGGTTGGGGAGGGGTGAGGAGGAATGTGGACGAGGCCCCTCGGGTCCCCCGCTCACACTCAACCCCGCGAGCCAATGTCCCTCCCCTCCACCCTGCAGCAACCTGAGCTGGCTGAGTTATGGGGCCCTGAAGGGAAACTGGACGCTAATCGTCGTCAACGCCGTGGGTGCTGTGCTTCAGACCCTGTATATCTTGGTGTATCTGCACTACTGCCATCGGAAGGTAGAGCCCCTTCCTCTGCTGCATGCCCTGCCCTGCCTTGCTGGCAGGGCAAACACTGTTTCCTAGAAGACTATAACACGCTGGCACTGCCAACTTTTCCTGGAAGACCCTTCCAGCCTTGCAGTCCTCCTTCCGCCATGAAGCCAGCCTGCTGAGACTCACATATTGTCCCCCATTCTGGCAAAGCTAGTAGCTCTGCCTAGCCTAATGGTGCCTTGCTGCCCAACAACCTGAGTGGAAAGGGATTTTGTCTCCATAGTTCCTTCAAAGTCAGTGCCAGTGGCTGAGAGTGAGATGATCCGCTCTGCTTCCCCATTCACACAAGCATTAAGCTCCTACTCTGTGTAGCAAGCTCACCAAAAAAGGATACCTTTCCCTCTCCTAGAAACCTCCAGGGTTGTGCGTGGATCAGACATGTGCTCAAGCCACTGGTGGGAAAGAGGATGTAACAAGTGCAATACTGGAATCTTGGGAAAAGGTTGGCTCCTCAACTGGAGCTTGGGAGAGGGCAGGATGAATTAATTCCAGCAGCAGAGTCAGAGAGGGCTCCTGGTACATCCAGAAGTAAGGCTACTCTCTCCTCTGCAGCATGCTGTGCTCCTTCAGACTGCAACCCTGCTGGGGGTCCTTGTCCTGGGTTTTGGCTACTTTTGGCTCCTGGTGCCCGACACTGAGACCCGGCTTCAGCAGCTGGGCCTCTTCTGCAGTGTCTTCACCATCAGTATGTACCTCTCACCACTAGCTGACTTGGTGAGTGGGGGTGTCCAGGGAGGAAAGGAAGATAAGTCTCCCATAGCCAGAGACTGTAGCTTATACTCCAGAGGAAGGAAAGACCCAAATCCTGGAAGGAGACGGGGCAGTAGAGTTGGGTGAGTGGGGGGCAGGAGGGAAAGGTTGGGTAACAGAAGATCAGGGAGGACGTTTTACTTTTTTTCTGAGGAAATTCTTAGGCAAGGTGGGAGATTTACTATGTGCCTTGCTAGGAGTGTCCTTCATCCTTTCCCACAGGCCAAGGTCATTCGTACTAAATCGACCCAACGTCTCTCCTTTTCACTCACCATTGCCACCCTCCTCACCTCTGCCTCCTGGACGTTCTATGGGTTTCGACTAAAAGATCCCTACATTGTGGTAAGCAGAACAGGGGCGGGGTGACAGGTGTACGAGGTGGAAAATCAGCTCCTCTCCTCATAGCAGCCCTTGTGATTTCAGGTGCCCAACCTTCCAGGAATCCTCACCAGCTTCATTCGCTTCTGGCTTTTCTGGAAATACCCCCAGGAGCAAGACAGGAACTATCAACTTCTACAAACCTGAGGGAGTTCACCTGACCACTGGGCACCTTAATGCCAACATACTACCAAAGAAACCTTGTTTCAGCTCTTCCTGCTGGTTACCTCCACTGGTGAAGTGCGTTGTGGTAAAGGAAAAGAACTGCTTTGAGAATCCAGGGACTAAAGAAAGGGCTTTACTTAGAAGACTGGATGGAACCTGGGAGATGAATCACTTTTTTTTTTTTTCAAGATTTTATTTTTTAATTTGGGAGGTCGGGGGAAATCTTTAGAATGTGCCTTAAAATAAACTGTTCCCTACCCCTTGCCCATCAAGGCTCATTCTCTGTTCAGGGATAGTCAACCTGCCTGGTTTGGTGAAGGGTAGACGGGAACTGTCTGATCCACAGTTACTCTTGGGCTGGTAGGGTTGGCTCAGAAAAGGTATCTGAAAGAACCAAGAAGTTGTAAAAACGTAGGAAGGCCTTAGAAAGAACAGAGCTTGGATGTTATGAAGAAGAATAGGCTTCAAGAAGTCCTTCCTAACAGGGCTAAAAAGACCAGGAAAGTGAAATGACTTTTCCATACTGAGAGATCTTGAGAAGGGCGTCTTTGCCTCCTTCGGAGCAAATAGGAGGAAGTACCAGCAGAATGCAAAGATAAAGGCTGAGAGAGCCTCAGGAAGGTGGCTCTTCTACCTCTCACTTATCAACAGCTGGTACACAGAATCCCCAATTCCCATCATCCACACTCCATACTCAAACCAAAGTTAGAAAATAAACTTGCGCTTTAATGGGGGAGGGGAGAGCAGGCTGTCCGTGCGGGAATGAGGTTAGGGTGTCAGAAGCGCATCCCCCTGCGGGCCAAGTCGTCTCGGGCCTCCTGGATCTGGCTCTGCAGCTCGCGGGCGGCGTCCTCGCAGTCGTGAAAAGTGGCCACGCGATAGCCCACAGTACCCAGTGCATAGCAACCGGCGGACACCAGCAAGTAGGCGGGCAGTGACCACAGGACCTCCCGGCAAGACAATGGCAGCTCCAGGCCCAGGGCTCCCGTGGTCAAAGCAGCCCAGGTGGAGCCCAGGACCGCCAGCCCCCACA